GAGGCGTGGGGAAGCAACAGCACAGGTCCAGCGGCCAGGGTGGAGGGGTGAGTGCAGGCCTGCTGCTAGGCTTGTGACGGCCAGGGAGAGGGTCCAGAGAGGAGTCCCTGGTGTCTGTGTGTGGCTCCCAGACCTGGAAGGCCCGGCCCCTCTCCAGCTTCATAAGGCCCAATGGTCCCAGCTGCTGTGCCCTATGCCTGCTTCCAACATCCTCTTCTTTCTCTGTCACCAAGCTGAATTTTATAAACATCTTTTTCCTTTTTTCTCTCTTTTTGAGTCAGGGTCTCACTCTGTTGCCCAGGCTGGAGTGCAGTGAAACAATCATGGCTCACCATGGTCTCGATCTCCTGGGCTCAGATGATCCTTTGCCTCAGCCTCCCCAGTAACTGGGACTATGGGCATGAACCACCAAGTCTGGATCATTTTTTGTTTTTTTATAGTGACAAGTCTTGCTATGTTGCTCAAGCTGGTGTTAAACTCCTGGGCTAAAGTGATCTTCCTGCCTTGGCCTCCCAGAGTACTGAAATTATAGGAGTGAGCCACCATGCCCAGCCTGAGTTTTATTAATATTCATGTCCTGGCTTAGACATCAAGAACCACAACAAAAAGCCCTCTGACAGGCAGCCGTGCCTATTCAGAAGGTGTGGGTCAACAACTCCCTGTACTCCTAACCTCCCTACCCCTACACCTCGACAGAATACCTGACATATGGTGGGTGATTATTTGAAAGCCAGAGAGAGGGAAAGTGGGTACAGATACTTGCAAAGTGATCCAAAGAGTCTCCTTTCATGCATGGTCCAGATTTGGACTTAAACACTTTAATTTTGGGGAAGAGGGTCAGGTAGCCCCTGGAGTCAGGGGCAATGAACAAGAGATAATGAGAAGAAACCAAAACTCACGTGAGTAGAGGAAGAAGTAGACAAGCAACTGCCTTGCCCCTAACCAGGGGTGAAATGCAACTTTAACCCTCCATTTGCCCTAAAACCTTCAGGTAGAGATGTTTCCTAGAAAGAAAGTTTTCTCATTCTTGCTGACCCCAAGAACGTGTGTTGACGGCTTTGATAATTGTCTTAAGACTTGGGGAAATAAGTTTACCATCAGAAGACAAGATTAACCGCTATTTCTTGTGTTTAGAATAAAAGGAAACTCAGGGATTGGAAGAAGGATCAAATGGAGTGGGAGACACACAGGAGAAAATCCAGGAGACTGTCATCCTTCATATTAGAAAATACCCCAAAAGTGGGAGGAAGAGGTGAGGGCAGCCAGCTTATAATCACATGCAAACTTGTTACCTGAGGCAAGAGCCCCGGCTTCTGCAGCTGGGTTGTTTGTAGCTCTGCCTCTGAGATTCTTTGGTGCCTGAAGTCTTTGTTCACATGATCCAAATTTCATGTTCATCCTCAAACCACAGCAATTATATCAGTAGCTTATCTTAAAGGAAGATAAGAGCACATTTCCCATATTTCTTCTGCTACAAGATGCAAACTATTTTCCAGCAAGTGAAAGTAGGAAGAGGGCATGGAAAGTGGACAAGAGAAATGCTCCAAAGATGCATAAAGTGGGTGGCAAGGCTGTAGAACTCACAATCTTTTCTTACTGTTTCCTTGAGATCATAAAGCAGACAGGCCGGGGCGGTCATTTTTACTTTACATGTGAAGACATGTAAAGAAAGGTCACTTTGTAAAGGCATTTTCACAGAATAAAACTTAGGTACAGTTGGTTAATCCATAATTTTACCCCTTATTTTAGTTCCTGACTAGCCTAGTGTATAACTGAACGCTTTGTTCATCGTGTAAGACATACTGACTCATAGCTAGAACTTAATCTTGCTTACTTTTGTTTTATGGAGTTTGAGACTGTAAGAGGGGACACCCCACCCAGAATTTATTTACAAAGATTGTGTATTTATTCTTACATGTTTAAACTTTAGTCATCTTCAAAGTATTCTCCATTTGATGCCATACACCTATTGTGATGCTTTTTTCAGTCTCAAAACAGCTTTTGAACTCATCAACTTTTATGCCTTTTAGTGCTTCTGTTGTTTTTTTGTTTCACCTCTTCCACATCGGCAAAACGTTTCCATTTGAGGATTTTTTTCATCCAGGGAAACAAAAAAAGTCACTCAGGGTGAAATCTGGTAAATAGGGAGGGTGGGGCACAGAGGTCATGCTGTTTTTGGTCAAAAACTGTTGAACACTCAGTGCAGTGTGGGCAGGTATAGTCGTATATCCCCTATCATGGAATGGGCAAATGTGTTGAAGGACTCTCCAAAAAAAGTTCACTGAAACCAAACACAGTCTCTCACAACAATGTTAGTTGATACGCTGATGGCAATGGGTTTCTAGAACACTCACCAAGCAAAAGAAGCCTGGATACAAGGGACCTGCCCTCCAAAAGATAATTCTGAGTTTTTTTGGGGTCCCCCCTCATATATTGTCAAATGTATATTGATATTCTTTCTTGTATAATTGAAGGCCCTCTTTATTTCTAATACTTTTTAATATTTTGGTCTATTTTATTTAATATTGCTAATCCTACACTAATTTTCTTTTGGTTCATATTTTCCTTGCAGGTTTTTTTCTAATACCTTACTATACTTTGAAACTTCCTGCGTACTTTAGGTGTGCCCTTTGGAAACAGTAAGTAGCAAAACTTTGAAAACATATTCAATCTAAGAATCTTTGTCTTTCAATGAGTATAATCTATTTTGCATTTATTATGATTACTGATATTTTCTAACAAATTATTACATCTTATTTTGTAATTTCTACTATGGTTTTTTTTTTTGTTGTTCTCATTTTTTTGCTTCTTCTAGACCCAATTTCCTGAGTTTTGATTTATAAATTTTTCTATACTTCTTTTTCCTTTAAGCTGATTTGGAAGTGATGTTTTCCATCCCTATGCTTTTAGTGGTCACTCAAAAATGCTACCATGTATGCTTAAATTAACATCCAAAATATCACTATATCTTCCGCCATTCTACTGAGAACATCATTTCATCTTTTGTGTTAACATGGAGTGGCACTTTAGTTCTTGTTTATAATCCAAATTCATCATCTTTTGCTTAAATGGCCAATCCTCTAACCTACAGACATATTTACCAATTTCTTTGATCATTATTGATCCCAGCCCTTTTTTCATAGTTTAAAAAAATCCACTTAATTAATTCATTCAAAAATATTAGCTAAACACCCAAACATGCGAGTCAGGCATTGCTCTAGGTGCTAGTGATAGAGAAATGAACAAAACAAGTCCCTGTTCTTGTGGAGTTTAAACTGCTCTGCATACTTATGTTAGTCTGGCTGAAGTAAATACTTTAGTCATTCTGGCATGCATTTGAGTGGCACATGCTCTTAGGTTTTTTTTTTGTTTTTTGGTTTTTTTTGAGTTGGAGTCTCACCCTGTCACCCAGACTGGAGTGCAGTGGCTGCTCCCGGCCACCGCAGCCTCGACCTGTTGGGCTCCGGCAATCCTTCCACCTCAGCCTTCCGAGTAGCCGGAATTACAGGCATGCGCTACCACGCCCGGCTGATTTTTTGATTTATTGTAGAGATGAGGTCTTGCTACCCAGGTGGGTCTCGAACCCGCGGGCTCAGGCAATCCACTCACCTCAGCCTCCCAAAGGCGCGGGATTACAGGCTGAGCCACCGAGCCCGGCTGCTCTTAGTTTTGATCTACATTTTATCCCCACTGTTGACTGATAGTTCAACTGGGTACAGAATTCCAAGTTTAGAGTTGGACTCCCTCGGGACTCCATTCCACTGTCTTCTGAATCTATGGGTTACTGGTAAGAAGTCAGTTGTCTTTCTAACAGTCATTTTCACAGGCGTCATTTTGTCATTGCTCTCTCGTTTTTAAGACTCTGTCCTTGAAATTTCTCAGTTTTACCATAATATGTCTGAGTATGAACTTGTCCTACTTAGACAACTTCTTTTTAAAACAACTTTTCCCTACCTTCTTATAATTTCCATATATGTAACTAAGTGTGTGTGTTACATATACACACACACACAGTTAAAAGCCATATATGTTACATATAATCTCTGTGATAAAGCCATATATGTTATATGTAATCTCTGATATATATGTACATATATACACACATACATACATACATACATATATATGTATATCATTCTTTTTTTTTTTTTTTTTTTTGAGTTGGAGTCTTACTTTGTTGCCCAGACTGGAGTGCAGTGGCCATTCCTGGTCACCGCAGCCTCTACCTGTTGGGCTCCGGTGATCCTTCCGCCTCAGCCTTCTGAGTAGCTGGAACTACAGGCGTGCGCTACCACACCCAGCTAATTTTTTGATTTATTGTAGAGATGAGGTCTCACCAAGTTGCCCAGGCGGGTCTCGAACCCACGGGCTCAGGCAATTCACTCACCTCGGCCTCCCAAAGCATGGGATTACAGCCTGAGCCACGAGCTCAGCATATCATTCTAATGTCTCCCTTCTTCACTTCTCTTTCTTTCAAAAAGCAAACAAAACAAAAGGTACATTTCCCAAAACACAATAAACTGTGAGAAGGAACTGGGTTGCAAGCTTCACATGATGCTACTCTTATCTATTTTTCAGATTGGAAAGTTAACTTTAAAGAGCTTAGGTGACTTATCCAAAGTGACACAGCTTATAAACATTAATGACAGCACTCATACTCTACAAATCCCATCCTGTGAACACACCACACCCCTGGTTCTTGTTTCCCAAGCACACATTTTAAAAAACTGGAAACAGACACTGGGATAATAAAATATGACAAAACCATGTAAGATACATTTCTGTTTCAGGAACATCACATTTTACAAAAGGGTCAACTGGCTAAATCATGTTTCTGCCTAGGCAATGACAACTTCACTCTGAAATCTGAGCATTTATCTCATCTGAGGTGTCAAACACATCTAGCTAATGCTAACTTGCCTCAAAAGTGGTTAAAACTGTAACGCAAAGCCAATCACACATGTATTTATGGGATAAAATAGTGAAAACCACTGTTTTACCTGTGCCACTTCTTCAAAATCTTCATGACGTTTCTGCAAAGCTCTGGCCCGATGAAGAGATTTCCCCACACCTGTATGTTTGCTCAGAAATGCTTCTCCATGGTTCTCAATCCAGTCCAGTACCTACAACAAAATACAGGTACATATGCCATAAAAACAATATCCTGCCTTGTTCAATGTTTAGGACTATCCAATGAAGGCCCATTCTGTTGTCATAACTCTGTAAAAAAAAAGAAGTAAAGGAGGAAAAAAAATGGAAGAGGTAATTGGATACTAATTTAACACACAAGGTAATTACAGGTTGATAATTTCATCAGCTTTCCCATCAGGACTTTAATCAAGCTCTTATGTTAAAAGTGTAAATCTATGTATAAATGTTACATGTGATAATGATTAAATTAAATCTCACCTTATTTTATGCACAACTGAGCCACCAAACTGACTGGGTTTTATATAAGGCAGTGATTACCAAGCCACAGAGGATCAGTTTAACCTAACTTTTTGTTTGTTTTTTTAGTTAGGGTTTCACTCTGTTGCTCAAGTTGAATTATGGCTCATGGCAGCCTCACTCTCCTAGGCTCAGGCGATCCTTTCATCTCAGCATCCCAAGTACCTGGGACTACAGGTACACACCACCACAACCCAGCCAATTTTTAAAAAATTTTGTAGAGACATGATTTTGCTATGTTGCCTGGGCTGGTCTTGAACTGTTGGAACTACGCAATCCTTCTGTCTCGGCCTCCCAACGTGCTGGGATTACAGGCATGAACCACTGCACCCAGTCTAACCTAATATATATATATTTTTTTGAGTTGGAGTCTCACTCTGTCGCCCAGACTGGAGTGCAGTGGCCGCTCCCGGCCACCGCAGCCTCGACCTGCTGGGCTCCGGCAATCCTTCTGCCTCAGCCTTCCAAGTAGCTGGAATTACAGGCATGCGCTACCACGCCCGGCTGATTTTTTGATTTATTGTAGAGATGAGGTCTCGCTGCCCAGGTGGGTCTCGAACCCGCGGGCTCAGGCAATCCACTCACCTCAGCCTCCCAAAGGCGCGGGATTACAGGCTGAGCCACCGAGCCTGGCTTAACCTAATATTTTTTATAAGCCTTAAAGCTACACAACTCAGGCAATTCTGCAGAAGACCCAAACACATGAGTACAATCTAAGAAAACACAACACTTACATGCCTCAGTCCTGATCTTGGAAAATTTATTCTTTAAGCTGAGATGTTGCAAAAATTAAGTATTCCATGAATTTAATTACTTAAGAGTTTTTGTGGCTGGGCTTGGTGGCTCAGCCTGTAATCCCAGCACTTTGGGAGGCCAAGGGGAATGAACTGCCTGAGCCCGTGGGTTCAAGACCCACCCAGGCAACTTGGTGAGACCTCGTCTTCTACAATAAATCAAAAATTAGCCAGGCGTGGTGGCGCATGCCTGTAGTTCCAGCTACTTGGAAGGCTGAGGCGGAAGGATTGCTAGAGCCTAGTAGGTCGAGGCTGTGGTGGCAGGGAGCGTGCCACTGCACTCCAGTCTGAGCAACAGAGTGAGACTCCAACTCAAAAAAAAAAAGAGAGTTTCACTACACTAAAGAAAATGAGTAAAAGTAAAGCAGTGCAATCTGATGTTTTAAAGTTCATAGTCGGGATTGAGTAGTTCATTGGTTCTTGTACTTGAGAAATCACAAAACCTGACAATATCTAACAAAACACAGTTGATCCTTGATCAATATGGGTTGCTACTGTGTAGGTCAACTTATATGTGGATTTTAAAAAATAAATACAATGGGCCCTCTGTCTGGGCAGATTCCACACTACAATCAAATACAGATTGAAAATACTGTATTTGCAGAATGCAAAACCTGCACAGATGGAGGCTTACTTTTTACATCCTCAGGTTCCACAGGGTCAACTGCAAGACTTGAGGATGTGCAGATTTTGGTATCCACGGGTAGTCCTGGAACCAATTCCCTGTGAATAATGAAGGATGTCTGGATTTATACTATATTGAATGCCACTTTGTCTCTCTTGATGGAGTCAGTAGTGTCTTTAGCTAAAAGCTAAAAACTTTAACTAAAGGATTTTAAATGCTTTCACACATTTGTTAATGTGCTACTAAAGTATTTAAGGCTCACTCATACTCTGCATATTTGTAACTACAGTCCTTCTTAGTCCATTCAGGCTGCTGTAATAAAATACCTTAGGCCGAGTAATTTATAAACAACAGAAATGTACTGCTTACTGCTCTGGAGACTAGGAAGCCCAAGATCAAGGCGCCAGCGGACTCAGTGTCTAGTGAGGGCTCATTGCTCACCGATGGTGTCTTCCATGTGTCCTCACATGGCAGAAGGGGCAAACAATCTCTCTCAGGCTTCTTTTTTAGGGACGCTAATCCCATTCATGAGGGTGAGGCTCCCATGACCTAATCCCCTCCCCTAAGTCCCATCTCTTGATAACACTACATTGTGAAGAATGTTCAACATATGAATTTTGGGTGACACAAACACTGAGAAAACATCTGGGTCCTAGGCATGTAGATCAAAGTATCTTAGACTAAAGAACAAACAGGCGCACACAGCAAGGAGAGTGGTCTAGTGACAATCTAGGAAACAGCCCAGCCACAGCGCTCTGTTGGTGGTAAAATAAAAGGGGCTCAGCTCGTGGTTCCTTTCTACAAAATGAAACCCTTTACCCTTTATTAACTGTACTGACATTAGCTGTGCTGACAGATACCTGGAGATGGGGGAGAAGGTCGCAGTCCAATCTGTTCTTCATTGTTCCATATCAGTGACTTCAAACCTGAGGGCCTGACTGAGGCTCCTTTCTCATAGGGGCTAGCAAACTTAGAATTGCATGTAAATAAAAATGACTTGTGAACCATAACAAACTTCTTGTGGTCCTCGGCAAAGATTCTTATAGAACTCGCAGGTGCTGAGATCAGAAGTATGGGAAGTGTGGGATGGGATGAAGTCCAAGCCTGGCAACAGGTGCTCAGGCCAATGCTACATGTTGACCTTGTGGCTCCAGTTCACTTGTGAACCTTTTTTGTCAACAACATCATTATGCTAGTCCCCTTGGGTCATACCCTCAGAGTAATTCTTCCTGGGTCCATTCGTATCCAGTCAACTCAGCCTAATCTATGGCCCAGTTCTCCTGACTCTCCTTCTGAAAGCTCTCTTACTTCCACACCTCCTGCACATAGACATAGAACCGAAGTGTGTGTTCTTGGGCAAGTTCCTTATCCTTTGTGAGCTTCAGTTGCCTATTCTGCTCACTGGTGATAATTACGAGGAGTTGCGAGCACTCAATAACATCTATGTTAAGCACCTTAGTATCAGTGTGGCAAATAGACAGCACATGTGACATTGCCACCATAAACTAGAATCCATGGCAGGTTTCTAACTTGTTTTCAGCTTATTGGTGGCACAGGCTATATATATTCTATTGCTTTTAAGCTAGTATATTTACTACATTATCTTCCTTTCTTGAGATTAAAGAGAGATACCTGATCTCAAACTAGGCAAAGTGGGCACCAAAGGGAGGCCCAAAATTTACCTGTATGATGATCACTTATATAGCTAATCCTGAATTGTACCACACATCTTTAAAATAAAATATAAATAAAAAAAACAAAATAAACTATATTTCTACTCTACTCCAGACCCACTGCTGGAGAATTTTAGAGAGTTGCCCTAAAATATATCCTGAGTAAATGCTACATGACTTAATAGGATATGTGAGACTTCTCTACAGTGTTTCTAAAACTTGTATGTGAATCTATAATTAGTTCAACATTAAAATAATTTAAAGATTACAAATAAAACCACAAGACTCAAGGAAAAAAAAAAAAGAGAAAGAGAGAAAAGAGAGTCCTTTAAGGTGCATTACATTTACCACTTGACTTCACAGCAGATATGAAGCTGCTGAGTTGATTATGCAACAGCCTCTTAGCACATATTATAAAACACAGGTCCCATTCCACCTCTAAAGAAATGTCTCAATGAAACTTCTAGACCTCTCAACCTTTAGAGTGAATTCATTTAATGGAACGTGACTCTGGGCATGAGGCCAATACCATGCAGATGACAAGTTTCAAATATTTTAAGCTTGAAAAGAATTTAGAAGTATATAAGTAACACCTATGCTACAGTCTACCTGCCTATAAAATCTACATGGAAGGCTAGGTAGACTTTTTTTTTTTTTTTTAACACAGTATAGTATATTCCACACTAATATAAAGAGAAAAGTTAAGTCACAGTAAGCAGCAAACCTGATGACTACTGGTAACTTCACAGAGACTTGAAATAAGAGCACAATTTCAAAAAAAAAAAAAGATAAACAGTACCTGGTAGAAAAGGCTTGAGAAAGCAAAATACAGTATTTTTAAATAATAAAACTTTTTTTAAGCATAAAAAAGTATTTCAGGCAGTATAAACTTGTTAATTATCGCTCTTATCAACTAACTACTCAGGATTATAACAAACATCTTCCTTTTATCAGAGGCTCCATCAAACAAAGATGCAGATACCAGGTGAAATTATATTTCCAACAAACATGAAAGTAATTCAAAGGAGAATGTACAAATTCCAATGATTAATAAATTCTACTTTATTAAAATAATTTCAGATAGGAAATCCAGCTACTACTCAAAAGTAAACTCCCATAGGCTGTTGCTTCTTTAACTAGTATGGGTAGACTTCCAGATTACCAAGTGATCCTGAGTCAATAGATTTAGGTCTAAGTAACATTTTCAAGACAAGCTTGTGAAATCTTCCAATTTAAAACATAAAAAGATTAGCAATCAGGGGGCTTTATCAACCTACTGGGCAAATGGCATTGTCACTGGGTTAGGGCATCAAAACTGGGTTAGGGCAAACCAACCAGCGCTGTCATCTATTTGCCCTGTGACCTCCACCCCAGTGACAACAAGGTTGGCATGGGGTTTTTACTGCTTTCCTTCCATGTGAAAACAGCAAGCACTGATCCCTTCCCATGGTCACGTGGCTCAGAAGCAGAAGAGCAAAGCTAGGAGGCCACTACCACCTTCCTCTCTGCTCAGAGGCTGTGACAGGGGCCCATTCCTCTGTACACTGGTGCCCTCTAATGGACACAAGACAGCCTCAAGGTCA